TGCTGCTGCTGGTGCTGCTGGTGCTGCTGCTGCAGCTGCTGCTGCTGCTGCTGCAGCAGCAAGATACCCCCTTCTAGCTGCGTCTTCTCCCTCCTCAGGCTAGCAACAGCAGCATCAGCAACGCGAGCTCTCTCTGCTGCTTCTTCTTTGTATTTCTGCATTTCTCGCAGTTGCTGCTGCAGCTCCCGCACTCTTTGCTGCTGCTGCTGCTGCAGGTACTGCACTTGCTGCTGCTGCTGCTGCTGCTGTCGCTGCTGCTGCTCCAGCTGTTTCTGCTTCTCGCAGCACTCCTGCTGCAGCTGCTGGCTGCTCTCAGTCAATCTAACAAACACAACAGCAACCTCAAAGCACTCAAGCATAAACAGTGCTGCAGCTGCAGCAGCAGCAGCAGCAGCAAAGGCAGCAGCAGCGAAGGCAGAAGCAGCAGCAGCGGAAGGGGCAAAAACAGCAGCAGCAGAAGCAATAGGAGCAGCTGCAACGGCACAGCTGATGCTGCATCAGCTGCTGCTGCTGCTGCTGCTGTTTGCTTCGTTCTACTCGCAGCCTGATTCGCACTGTATGTTAGGGTTTAGGGTTTGTGAGCAGGGATTAGGGTTTAGGGTTTAGGGTTTACCTCTTGATAGTCTCAGCCGCCTGGTCGTTTGAGGCCTTTGAACGCTCCAATTCTGCATACACAAACCCTAAACCCTAAACCCTAAACCCTAAACCCTCTTCGATCGCGCGGCATCTGCTGCAAACACCGACAGGGTTGAGTCTCTCCCTGGCTACACTCTATTTCCAAGGGCTAAACCGTAAACCCTAAACCCTAAACCCTAAACCCTAGAGCCTAAACCCTGGAGCCTAGACTGTAACAACCTTAACCCTATCCCCTAACCTGTAACCCATAGTCCGTAACCCTTAAGCCCTAAACCCTAAACCCTAAACCCTAAACCCTCGAGGCGTGCCTTTGGTGAGTGAGTCTTTTAACTTTAGTATGCGGGTCCTCTCTGATCCAAGAGCATTTCTTTCGTCTGCTGCTGCTTGAAGCTGTCTCTTTAATTCTTCTGTCTCCTTCTCTGCTGCTGCTGCTGTCTC